CTGCTTGATAAGACAGACCAAATTCTGAGGGGATCATTTTGAGGTTTTTGGTGACTAAATCTTTGCAATGTGAAACAATGGGAAAAAAACTGACACGATAAGGCATGTTAAGTAAATCACACACACACACAAAAAAAAGCAGTTTTAACTTACTGCAGTTTATGTAACTTTCATGCATTAACTATTTAACTTTTTGTCAGTTTTCAAAGCACGTTCCACAGTTAACTTTTGGGCCACCATATTTAAAACAAGTCCTTTTATGAATCCAATTTCTGAGACTTTATTTTGGCTGAAATATGCACATGGTCACTATCAAATTAAATAAATGTTAAGAAAATAAGTTACCAGTATTTAATGCTGTGAAAGTAAATTATATTTCTACACACACAATTCACTGCATCCACTTATAAATAGAAATGCAAAAGGACAAATTTGGACTTAAAATCAAGTCATATTTACAAAAAATGTCTTGCTTCAAATGCCGAGTACTGGATAGGCAGCATTTGAGCAAAGATGGCTTAGCAAGCACATAAACCTTTACTATAGTCATGTTTACTGGAAGAATGATTATGCAGACTTGGGTATTTTGGCACACAATAATAAAAACCGTGGACCAATCCATGCCTTCTTCTACATGCGGTTTACACAAATCAAATAAGGGAGTCCACAGCAAAAAAAGAGATAATACAAGAAGTATGATTATTTAAGTCTCATAAAGTATATATATAAACTGAGTTACACTGCTCATTTTATTTTAATATTCTGTAAACAGCACTCTTGAAATAGGATTCAAAGAAGGCATACTGGAAGAGGGCCCTACAGGCATTGGTCTCACAACTTTTGAGTGAGTGCAAAGGTAAAACACCTTACAACTTCACCGCAGAAGCCAGTCTAATTCAGTTTTATGAAGGAAAGTCAAAGTGTGTTCACAGAAGCTGAGATATGCACACTGATGTCACATTTCCAATTGTTGACCCTATTTCCATTCACATAGTCCTTTCAACTAGTTAAATGCTGCTCAAGTAACTTGACTTGGACTTTAACGTGCACCTCATTGCGACTTTGCTTGAAAAATGAAGCAGCCATGAATTATAAAAGCAAATGAATACTTTTCAAACATTGTTAGCTTAGAAGTTAAAATCAATCACTGCCTTTGGATATATATGGCTATCAGTCATCTCCTCTGTCATCCCACTGTAACAATCGATTAGCAAATTAAAAAAGATCTTTGTGATTATCAAATGATTCCAGTGCCATTCTTTGTACCATCATATCAATTCTGTACTCTCCAGTTTGTTCAGTTCCGTGGCCTTTGGTGCAGCAACATTGTCAACTATTTGGTAGTGCTGTTACCAGAAGGAAAAAAATCCCTTTTCTAAAAGGAAACAGTATTTTAAAAAACAAAGCAAAAACTCTCAATAAAACTGTAACTTGCTTCAGAAAGTTTGTGAGCCATGTCAGCAATGAAAGGACAATTCTACTTGAGGAGCTCTATTTTCCTGGGACTTCAGCCCAGAACACATACAAAAGAAAAGACTTGATGGTAGAGAGGGGACACAATCACAGACTATTCTTTGTCTTCGCTGTGATCTGCAATCCTCCACACATATGAAGCAAGCATTATGATTTATCCTTGCCGCTGGCTTCATACACCTCAAAGGGCAGGTAATACCTACGTCAATGTATTTATATATCATGTATAAGAAGGTGCACGTGAACTGACTTAACAAAGTGTAGAGAACATGGCTTTTAAAAAGAAACTGATGATAGTTAACAGTAGATCCACAGTTGGAATAAACATGGTCAATCTGGTGTACAACTGGGTTTTTACAAAGAGAGTTTCTTGTTAACCAAAATATAAAGAAATTTAAAATACAAGGAGCCAAGATTCCAAGGGCACTCTACTCATGCACTCTGAGCATACTATTACTAAAAGCATGTTAAGGAGCTTAGACCTCTGTCTAAATCTATAAACAAAAATACTCTCTCTAAAAACTTCAAACATGAACCTTCCTTGCTTTGTCCATGAACAGATAAAATATTACTTAACAGTATTTTAACTGCAAATACATGTTTAGTGTGTTTGGGAACATTTTTCACTTCCAGCCTTTCATCCATAGAGGCCCATCGTGATCATACGTCATCACAAAGATAATTTTTGTTCGGTAGAACTGAATGGTAATGTAAAATTACAATTACAGCTTCATATCCCATGACACAGGTAGGGACTTCACCAGGATCTGTAACACTCTCCTCTTAGAATGTAATTTCCTGGAAGCTCAAAATGGCAAAAGACAAAGAGCATATATGGCCAAATAAAGACCTACACATCTTTATTAATGAGTTTTCTGAAACAAACAAAAATCGGATCTCTTAGAATAGTAGCATTAAAGCGTTCTGTACAATTGACCATTCAATAAATATGAGCAATGAAACAGAAAGCAGCAAGCAAACCACAAAAGCACTGATGCTTATTAGCAAAATAAGGCAGGCTGTGGCTTAAAGGATATCTACTGCAAGAACTCAAGGTACTGAGGAAGGGGACCTGAAACTTACTAAGATAAGCTTTGTCAATAACAGTGATACTGATGCAAACCAAAAACGCAAACCATAGATCAACACATTTAATACAAAGCTTCATTTTGTCTAAAACTGCCTCAGATCAAAGATAATTTTTATTTTGATAACAATAAAGGTAATTAAACATGACACAAGCACTGACTCAGAATTCAATAAAGACTACTGACCCCTGATATTGGTCTGGATACATGGTAACTCAAATGAGAATTTATTAATTATGAATAAAGGCTTTTGTCATTCTGTCATATATACTACAACAGAATCAGCCAGGTTTTCTAACAGTAACAGCGATATTCACTAGGCGACAAATTACTTATCCATACACAAAAATGCACACTGACCACGTTCAAATAAAACATGATAGCTGCACTCCAAACCAAATATCCATTGTCAACACACTCCTAATCATGTCATGGCGAATTAGATATTAGCTCTGTGAGACTGTCAGCACAAAAGTGATATTCAACGATGCAAAGCTCGGGAATGGTTAAACACCTTGTCAAATCAATGTTTGACTTACTACTACAGACTTTGCAGGGGACTAACATTTTTCTTAGGTCAGCATGGCACTGAGCAACAACAGGACCTCTGTGCACAGAGGAGAGTCTTGGTGTTTAACCCTTTACGAGCCATATCCGCCAAAACCGGTCTTCCCATCATGTTGCAATACAGGATTTTACCGGCTTGAAACACCCGCCTTCAGTGCAGCCTTAGAAATAAAAACATTCCACTCTTAATTTAAAAACTGTTATCCTTGGTCTTTGTATGCGAAATTTCATTGAAATATGATCAAAGGCAAAAACAATTTCTTTGCTACATCCCTTGAACCTCTGAAAAACACTGAAATAATTTGGTACGTGGAAGCCATCAGCTGGCCACCATTTTGGTTTTGCTGTGCTGACCTGTTGACCTATTTATGGTGCAGCAGTGATGTAGTGACATAGCGACAAAGTTGGGGTGTAATTGTTTCTTCCTTATCTGGGAGGGTGAGTATGGTTTGTGGTAGCTGAACAACGAATAAATTTCTTAAAATCAAAATCAGGGGTTCATTTTTTAAAATCATAACAATTTCGCCAAATTTGTAACAATGGGCAGCCCTAGATTAGATTCCGGACACAGATTTCATAAATTTCCAAAGCCAGAAAAAAACAGTATGGATACCATTCACTTGGCTTTACTTTCCTCCTTACTTGCAATCATCTAATTATGGGCATGGCCAGACAAGATAATTGGAGATACTGCATTTGTTCTAGTCGGCTCCGAAATATTAATTACATAAACATAAGAAGCAAAACATTTGCAAACAATCTAATCTAACAACCCACAGCTCCTTTGTAAAACTTTCAAAACTGAAATGCTTGCAAGCAAGCCTTGGTAAACCATAAGTACAATGGAACAGAAAACAAGTCACAAGGCATACTTTAATTTTAAAAATAGGATATCCACAATAACTGACTTTCTAAAATAAAACCAAAAATGATTACGATGAGAAAAAAAGACAGATATGACAACAGTAATGATTTCCCGACCCCAAAAAACCTTTAAAAATCCATTTTACAGACTTGTCATACTCGTACAATATCATTTGAACTTACAAGGTATTCATGCATAATATACGTACTCTGCTATCAAACGCTTAGAAGCAATGTTGATGTCCTTATAGAAAAAAGGACTACAACATTAACTAACATATGAACCTTATAAACTATAACATACGTACACATTTTCCCCAATACTTTAATCTATGTTTTCAGGAACAATACAGGACTCTTGATGTAACAAATTTTACAAAGAAGTTACAGATGCTACTTTGACTGAAAAAGAATCTTGAAAAAAAAAAGCCACCAACTTAAAAAAAAGAAATATTAAAGCTCTAAAAAGAATTTCAAGAAATAAAACGAGAGAGCGAGAGAGCGAGAGAGAGAGAGAGAGAGAGAGAGAGAGAGAGACAGAGAGAGAGAGAGACAGAGAGAGACAGAGACAGAGACAGAGACAGAGACAGAGAGGCAGAGAGACAGAGAGAGAGAGAGAGAGACAGAGAGAGATAGAGAGAGTGGGGGGAGGAGGGTTGATAAAGAGAGCCGGGGGAGAATGGGAGATAGAGAAAGATAAAGAGACAGGAACAGAGAGAGAAAGAGTGAGAGAGAAGCACTTTCCAAGAAGAGAAAGGAGACAGGACGTCAGGTCCCACTATGGAAAAAGAGATTTCCGTAAATTTACGGAAAATTTCCATCCCTGAAATATAATGAGAAAAAGTTGTATCTCACTAAATTACTTATTTCAAGGATTCCTACCACATACTCCATGTATAACAGATAACAAGCAACTTTGATTAAGAATGCTTTATCTTAACAAAAGCTAATTTAATTAATTATAAGCATTTACAACCAAAATTAGCAGAAACCAAATTCCAAACTTACCTCTAATTTTGGCTCTGTGCAGCTTTTGTCTTTTTCAATTCCATAAGCTCTCATGAGATCTCTGATCTGTCCGATCACTACAAGCAAAGCATAGCCAAGGTAAGTTAGGATGGCCACGAGAAGAGGTGTTTCCTCAAATGACTCAAAGAAATCCTCTTGCCATTTTGTCTGAGGAATGAAATAAGGGACAATATAATATATCTTCATGAATATCATTTACTTTTAAAATCTTTAAATACAAGTGTTTTATGCCCCCATCAACACAACATACATCACTCAGGAGGAAGGCTTAGACCCTGTCTGTCAGGGCCAACCTGAGCTGAAAGGGTTACAACATACCAGACGAAAAGGAAAGAGAAGAGATACTCGATTAAAATTCCCCCCACATGGGAATTGAACTCAAGTCTTCTACACGCTTTGGTGGAGCACCTAATCACTACACCACTGACACTACCTGAATACCATTGTAATTATATCACTTACAAATAATGTCTTTATAACACAGTTGATATTACCATAGGAACAAGTACAGTATGCCCATAACAGCAACCCCCTGGGAAGGCAAACCTTGGTTGCTGTTAAGCACACGCACCTACAATACAAAGGCGCGCAGGTAGACGCACTTATAAGTCCTAATTGTATGATATGATGAATGATGTGATGACATGATGATGTTATGTTGGCACACATATGATAACACAGGCAGCATCAGGGGACCTAAAAGCTCTATCATTGGGCAGTAATGTTAGCTACAATGACCTAGACTATTCGTGGAGACTTTGACGGAGGCTCTTCTCAATATTATGTGAATTGAGCTCCTATACTCAGCATAGTGTATTTTTTGTGGGTGTTCAAGCTGCTTTTGAATTATTTTTTAAAATTTTGTCAGACAATTTATTGCAACAAAAAGGCTGATGATGCTATTAGAATAAGAGGAAAAGGTTGCTGTTAAACTGGGTCAAATTCAATACGAAAATTCCATTTCTATACAAAAGCTTTGGTTGCTGTTAGGCAGACGTAGCCCTTAAAAATCTGGGTTGCTGTTAAGTGCACACCCCTGTACCCTTACAAAAACTTGTGATCTTCCTGTAGGGCTGTTAAAGTAAATCATTGAGCAACACGACAGCAAGTATTATGTTAAAAGCATGCATCTCAAAAGTACAAAGAAGAGCTAAAAGCAGAGAAAAAGAACCTCAAGTTCGGTGAGAACACATTTTGTCCCCTAGAATAAAAGTACACCCTCTTGTTCGCATGGGAATAAAGGATGAGAGAATAATAATTTAATTCATGTCTTCTTGTCCATTCATTAAGGGGAGGAGCGACCCTTGATTTTGTCAATTTTGGGTCAGGTTTTATCTATGCAAATTTTGTTGGCTGATTTACAGTGATTTTATAAGATCAACCAGTTCTTTATCTAAAAGTTGCATGGAGATAATTGAGAAAGTCTTTATTCTCCTCGTAAATTGCCTTTCTTAGTTTTAGTTTTAGTAGAGGTTTTACGACGCTCGCAACTGCATTTAAGGTCATATGAGCGCCAAGGGCTCAAGGGGTGGATGTCAAAAGAGAAGTCCTCACTACAGGGAATCAGACTTACTCTCCTCACCTCTCTAGGTGTCTGATTACTGTTGTTATGGCTAGTGCGCATTGTAAACTATTATAAACACGGTAGGTCATTGTTACTCACTGACATTGTAATAGATCTTTTATAGTTTTGGTGAAAAGTCAGAAAAGTCACACATAGGCCTAACGCTTCACAAACAGTGCGTCGTGTAAAATAATGTGCCTAAAAAATGTAGTCCAAAGGCACTGGAGGAGGGGATTAATACTGTTATTGTGGAGAAAAGCCCTGCCATAATTGAAAAAAATTACACATTATATATATCATAGTTCAAGTTTTGTTGGGCAGAAGATATTCGGAGACGTCTCTGACGAGCGCCGCGGAACTATTCGGAGATGTACACCCGCACACAGATGAACTGCTTTTTTTTCATATAGGTTTTACGGTGCTCGCAACTATATGAGCGCCAGAAGATTAGAGGTGTTACAAGAGAGAAACAAACATAAAAAAGAAGGGGAAATACGGACGATAGATGTTTGAGGAAAGAAGGAGCAAACCACACCAGAGCACCCCCGCTAACCACCCACTGCTTTGGAGGGTCAAACTGTGAGTATTGTTTGCTGCAGATCAAATATATTGCTAGTAAAACTGTCAATTATGTTAAAAAAAAATTTCAAACTTACTGCAAAATATCAAATTACGGGTTAAAACAGGGGGCCCCCCTCTTAAATTTCTTTTATTTGGTCCAGGAGCACAAAGCATTTTGATGGGTCTATCTCCGTCCCAGACGTCTCCGGATAGATATGTGTTCTGTTGATGTGACGGTGTAGGATGCACAGTGTATCATAAGGTCAATATCTCTGCAAGTGGCATGGGTCTAAAAACAACACGGGTCTCAACTCAGAACTTTAAAAAAGGTGAATGGACTGTTGGTGGGTGCTCTGGTGTGGTTTGCTTCGATTCTTTCCCATCAAACATCTTTCGTCCTTATTATCTTTCCTCCTTTTTTTGCATGTTACTCTCTTGTAACACATCTATTCTTCGGCACTTATAACATTGTGTTGCAAGTGCCGTAAAATTTACACCAAAAAAAAGAACTTTCTGCGTGATAACAACAGAAGACCATTTTCGCGAGACACCTATTATTATTTGACCTTGTTTAAAAACCCTAGAAAGCTGAAATAAAAACCATCGATTTATCAAAGCAAGGTATTTCATACCAATTTGAGGGTTTGGAAGATAATTTACTTAGCACCTCTGTGATTGGCCCAAATATAGATGACGTATTTTCGCCATCTTCCAGGGCTTCCCTCGCCAGTTGACTTGATCTGACCACCGTGGCGGGCCTGCTTTGATGCTCAGCACGCGATAGGCTACGACACTAGATCTTGGTTTCATAGACGACTGCTTGGGCTGTGTGAGTGTGTGCGCGCGAGTGTGTGTGTGCACGCGCTTGTGTGTATGTGTGGGAGCGCGCTCGCCGCTTGTGTGTGTGTGTGTGTGTGTGTGTGTGTGTGTGTGCATGCGTGTGTGCATGTGTTTGTGTGTGTGCGCGCACGCGCATTCGTGTGTGTGAGGGTGAGTGTGGGAGTACAAATTTAAGGAGAAGATAAATTTATGGAACGAGAAATACTGAGATTGTTTATAAAAGATAGACACAAATTAGCAATGACCATGTAAAACGTTTTTTTGACAGAAAGTATTTGCAAATAGGTGCATTTTGTAGCTGTATCTTCACAGAGCATGGAACTTTTTTGAATTTTTGAAATCCATCAATAAACAAAAAAATTACAAATTTTTTAATCAATTAATTTTTGGTACACTTTTATATAATGAAAAAAAAAATATGGGATGTTTTTGGGTGAGTTTTGAGACAATATTCGTATAACTCGCTCATTTCTCTGAGTATTTAAATGAAACTTGGCAACCCAGTACATTTTCTAGTGCAGAATCTAGTCCTGCTTTCAGAATTTTCATAGCTATCCTACTTTTTGAGTTATGAAGATGTTTATAGGTAAAATGTGGCGGTTTCCGGTGCGTTTTGAGACAATATTTGTCATAGCTCGCCTATTTTTTGGAGTATATAATGTAAATGAAACTTGGCAGTATAGTACAGTTTTTAATGCAGAATCTAGTCATGCTGTCAGATTTTTAATATCTATCATACTTTTTGAGTTGTAAAGACATAATTAACAGGTAAAAAAGTGGTGTTCTTTACAGATTTACAAAGATTATCAGTCATATCTTCTCCCAAAGTCATGATATTTGAATGGAACTTGGCAACATAAGAGGTTCCTCCTTGCCAAGCAATGCTCTGGATCAATTTGTCATAAAAATGTAAGTAGAGAACTGGATTTATTAGTCTAATAAATCCAGTTCTCTACTACTACTAGTAAAAGCATGCATACTTTGTAATAGAAAATAAGATCGTCTCTGTGTATATCCAGTGTTGGACAGTGTCCTATTGTGTGGTAGATTAAGATGCGTTTAGATAATATAATTTACAAGTCATGGGAATATTTCGCATGTGTAGGCTACAACTCATACTATCAATGTAACATATTTACACACCCCCCCCCTCCCTTCTCTCTCTCTCACGCACGCACACACACGCACATGCACGCGCGTGCACTCACGCACGCACGCATGAATAATACCAATGTATAAACGGGAATATCTTCCCAGACTGGACTAAATAAGTACATGTACCGTACTCTTTAATATAATAATCTTAATGCCTCACTTTTCCAAACAGAGAACACAGGACGAGTCCAAGTGTGTGCTTTCCCCAGAAGGGGGAATAGGCTTTTATAACGCAAACACAATCCATACCACTTCTCAAGATGTTTGCTTTTCTGTTTCTATTCTTCTGTCATGCAATCAAGCAAATAAAAATGACTACATCTATTGTATTGTGACTAAAATGCAACATAAATGCAAGTTATCAAGGCCCCCGTTTAGTTTTCAAGTATCCTCCCCCCCCCCCTTCCCGGTTCACAAAAGCGGGACCTCGTTTGTAGCGCCCGAGGCGACCTATGGCTGATGACGTCACTCATTGGAAATTTCCCAGCCGCCGGTCGTTCACCCAGTACGCGCAAATGGCAAGGTCGCTCTTTCCCTTAGTTACTCCCACATTTTTAAAGATTACGCAAAAACCGCTAAACACAGAAGTATGAAATTTTAAGGGAATAAAGAAAATTGGTGTACAATGTATCAGTCAGTTTGACAAATCACAGCTCCGAAAAATCTTCAAAGCGCACCACATCAACCACTTTCGCAAATGTTTTCAACCACACGTCACTACTTCTTGGATGGGTACAAAGCTGTCAAACTGTACTACGAGATTGACCTCTTTTCTGATTGGCTGCCAAGTTTCATTCATATCCATTCACGAGAAGCGGCGGGAGAGCGAGTTGAAGACAACAACCTTTGCGTTAGTGTGTCCCACGAAACATCCCCGCGGCGGGGGCCAAAAATCGGCAGAACAAAACGCGCTCGGTGGGCATTGCTACACAAATTAATACAAAAAAACAAACACGACGAGATCTAGTCAACAGTTACTGTGGCGAGGGAAACCCAAGAGTCTTGGGGGGAAAACCCAGGAAGATGACAAAATAGTTTGCAGAATACGTCAACAGGTCATCTTTGGGCCAATCACAGAGGTGTGCTGGATTAGAAGCTCGCAGAAGCTTCATGTAATTTCAAGTAAAAGAGTCACTTACCAAATATTTACAATCCCGATTATGTACACAGTACAGAAAGTGGTGGTTTAGCGGAGGAAATTATGGCGGTAGCGGAAATCCGCTAGATTTCTATATCTAAATTAGCGGGATATTGAGACCCTTGAAACAATCAAAACATTGTCATAGACTGATGACAGAGGAGAAGTAGATCTAGATCTGATCTAGACCTACATGACACAGGCTTGATAGTGCATCATAATATTAATGTCAATATCCACAAGTGGCATGGTCTAAAAACAATCAAAACATTCTATCATCATAGCAGTCACACATAGCATAGAGTAGAGTAGAGTTCAGAGTAAGAATTGAATTGAGTTGTACACATGTCTCGGGAGAATCTTTTGGCATTCCTCCCAAACTAAGTCAAAATAGAGAATAGATCTAGAATCTACTAACTTGACTAGAATCTAGACATCTACTGATGTGATCTTGACCTGGTCCTATTTTTTCGGTGTTATTTTCGCCTTAGTTTAACTAAAGTTTAGTCGTCTTGTTGTCTTTCTAATTCTCGTGCTCGTTCTATTATGATCTCAACGAAGGCTACAGGTTGCTAAATCGACTTACGTGATCACGCTTTCCGTTAATCCCGTTCTTTTTCACACCGTTTACATGGCCATTTTTTCTGGGTGGGGTTTTGTAGTCTGACAATTTTCCATTCACTTCACTCGAACTGGAGTGGGTGCCCCTCCCCGTGGCCATTTTGATTCCTGTTGGATGGGGCCTCGGATTGCTCGAGTCGTCTAGGCTCGTCTTGTTACTTGTGAAGCAGGAAATTACGGTGAATCAGATCAGTCAGTGTTTGTAAGCAAGAATTCAATTGGTTGGGGTGAAGGTACGATAGCCAATAGAAATGGAAGACTCATTTTTTCCTTCCTTGCGTCCCTCACGATGACAAACGCTTCGAGAGAAAATCTTTATTACGGAATGAAAAAGGGAAAAAAATCTGAATCTTTCTCTGTAATTAATTGTGAACTGGGTCTTATCGCCATTTTCCAGTCTTCCATTGTGGAAAAAAATAACCAAAAACTCATTTGAATTGACATTTCAGTACAATTGTGTAAGAGACGAAACCAAGGAAGCGACTTGTAAACAAAGAGGAATAATTCAGTAAGAGTAAAATGGCAAAACCTGTTTAGTCATTCGGTCTGCTGCGAATGTCAGAAGTTGATAAATCTTTAAATAAATTATCACCGGGCTAAAAAGATAGAATCTATTAACTGTCACGCCACTTTTAATTCTTAATGAGCAAACCTAATAGAGCAAAGTGTAAATTATAATGAGAGTGCAACATTATTTTTTAAATTTAATTAAGACACAAGAAAGTATCAGCATCGAACCACAAGACGCGCAATTAATCTTTCATTATCCCTAGTAGTAGCTGTAGTAGAATGCAGGTAGTAGGCTAGGACATGAAGTAGTAGTGGCAGCAGTAGTGGTACATGTACTAGCAGTAGTAAAATCAAAAGGCCTAATTGTTTTTCTTTTGAAACCGGTAAGCTATAAATTATAAGCGGGTTTATTTTTGCTGTTAATTGCTGTATCATTGTATCTATAATTAATTAATTAATTA